ATGTAAAAATGTGCATGAATATAAACATTTAAATAATATACCCTACAGCAAAATATGTTGTGTCATAACGGTTGTGTGTAGCAGTTTAATCAGGAAAGACATTGGGGGGGAGAAATTGCAGTTAATCTCTTCTAACTTTAGTATTGAAACTTTAATAAATTTTTTGGAAATATTGTCCCTTAACCATGTGGAGCAGAAGGAAGCAATGTATTACATTTTTAAATCATAATGCTTAAAATCTTTGCCCTAATAACTTCAGGAATTTAAGTTTTCATCTAATACACAATCTGATTCTGCAAATGACACTGTGTGAAATGACGTCTGCATGAGGAGCATGATGCAGGATTAGGCCTGTGAAAGATTTATGTGTGTCCTTCAGACCATCTGAGTAGTACCGCAATATAATCGTTAAATGAAAAGTGTGTGTTAGAGCTTGGTTCAGTTAGTGTGTGATCATAAGAGACTGAAAGGAACAAATGGAGCTGTGGTCTTGAAGGTACTGAACTGCTGGAGTGCATTTAAGCAATCCTTATGAAGGGTCATAAAGTAATATTGGTTGCCTCACCTTTTGCACGGGTGGCATTAAGCAACTTTAAAAGATCAGTTTACATGTAGACAAACATTTAGGTACCAAAATTCATTAGAAGAGCCGGTATTTCCTTTTGTGTATGTTGCCCTGCTGTATAAAGAGGTTATTTTTGTAGAACCTAGAAAATTCTCCATAACCCATTGCAGGCTGGTTGTGAAAGTAACTTGTAATCCGAGTATTTGCATTTGCTAAAGAACATCCTGCTTTTATAGGAAACGTTGAAATCTCAATGGGGGGAAAAATTTCTTCAGCTCTAGGGTCGATCTGTGTATCAGAAGTTACATCTTAGTACATGTAATTTCACAGCGGTTGACCATCAGGTTAAAAATAGTCTTGTTGACCACACACAGCGTAACATTTTTTAAATTAAAATTTAGCTGGGCCGATAGCTACAGAATTATTTATTCAAGTCAGTGCTTGCAGACACCAGCAGCTAGGGGGGTTAAAGATGTTAAATAAATGAGTCCTATGGAAAAGACATACTTTTTTATAATTGTATTTCCCAAATGCTAGCTAATGCAGCTGGAAGGAGTGGTTGACAATTATTTTTAGCTTCATAAAGATCTGTAAGTTTTCAGGGAAAAAGTGAAATAGTCTTGTTGTCTTCTTTTATTCCTTTCTTTTCTTTTTTCTGCTTTTCAGAAAGCACATGGCTTATTGAATGGATGGCAAAATTGTTTCAGCTGGTATACTGTGCAATGAAGTCTGTCTTAATCAGCTTCTAGATTTTCTTGCTTTTGCTGTAAGGACAGTGAAATTGTTGGACAGGAGAAAAGCAGTATCTGTATTCTACAGATTTCTAAGCATAGTTGAATCATATGTTGCAGCAGTCAAGTCCAATAGAGGTAAAACAAAAAAAGAGAAACATGGAAATTGAATGCTAAGAAGAGACTTCCATAGTTGGGAATGCAATGCTTTGCTTCTATTGTAGCATTTGCATTTTTTAACACATGCATACCTTGCTGTGAATTAACAGCTCTAGTTGGATTTTTTTGGGGTTTCTTTTGTAAAGCATAAATACCAAAATGTATGTTTCCAGTGCTCATATCAAAATTCACTGTCTCTTGGTAGCTTGGTGCTAGGCTAGTACATTTTATCTGGAATCATCTTTGGAGAGAAACACTGTGTATGAGACATTTGCATACTCCAGGACCACCAGGTGCACCTGTGGGGTTTTGGGGGGAGAGTTCGTTTGGTTTTTTAAGCGTAACCACACAGATACTACTGTGATGTGATTCAGAGAACATGCTGTGATGAGCCAGTTGTGGTGCTATAATGACTTTTAATGCTGTTTGCCCTCTTCATCATTGACTTTCCATCTGTGACTGCTGGACATGGCACATAGAATCATAGCATGGTTTGAGTTGCAAGGGACCTTTAAAGATCACCTAGTCCAACCTGCCTGCCATGTGCAGGGACGTTTTCCACTAAACCAAGTTGCTCAAAGCCCCATCCAACTTGACTTTGAACACTTAATGATTTGGCATCCACAGCTTCCCTGGGCAACCTGTTTCAGTGTCTCACCACCCTCATCATAAAAAGTTTCTTCCTTATATCCAATCTAACCGTATCCTCTTTCAGTATAAAACTGTTGTCCCTTGCCCTGTCACTACAGGCCCTGAAAATTCTCCCTCCGTCATTTTTATAAGCCCCCTTTTATTTATTGAAAGTCTGTGATGTGGTCTTTCGGGAGCCGTCTCTTCTCCAGGCTGAACAACCCCAACCCTCTCAGCCTTTTTTCACAGGAGAGGTGTTTCAGCCCTCTGATCATTTTCATGGCCCTCCTCTGGACCCACTCTAATGGGTCCGTGTCTTTCCTGTGCTGAGGATCCCAGAGCTGCATGCAGTGCTCCAGGTGGTGTCTCACCGTGTAAGTCTGTGCAGCTTGTTGGTGAAGACCCTGTTGTCCCACTTGATCAGGTGAATCTCATCCGCTGCAGCAGACCTGGCTTCTCAAAGGTAGATCCATGATCATAGAAGCCAAAACATAAGTATTCACACTCCAGTACACAAACCATATTTGGCATATGTCATTGACCTGGCATCGCAGTAAATACTGTGAAATGAGCTTTATTTTTTTGTAATATGAGTTACTTTTTTTAGGGAAAAGTAGTTCAGGCACTGCAGAAGCAGCACAGCAGTTGCAGTGTAGTCGTGACAGAGCACATGAATTGATTGGAGAGATTGTGAGCTAGGTCCTGTTGTGTATAATCTGTACTCCTCAGATTACATAGCTCAATTACCTCAGGTGCTTGTAGAATCACATCTTTCTTTGAATTGCTGAGATTACTTGCATGGGGAAATGCTGCATTATCAAGACATACTCTTTCTGCTTAGTTGTGAATAGATACAGTCGCTTTTGTCTCACAGATTATCTGCTTGCCCATATATTGATTTATGTCCTCTAATGAAAAGCAAAATGTTAATTGTTACTGGTTAAAAACAAGCACTTAACAAATAAAACTGTTTTTTCCATGGTACACGCACTGAATCATGGCCTTTTCCTGGATCCTTCTTGCTTGTTCGGGGTATCGCAATGTAACAAGGACAGTGTTGGCTGCTTTCATAAATGTTGACTCCATTGTATGATTAATGGCGAATTTGTAGGTATTTATTATTGTACTGCAAATGTGTTCGTAGCATTTCGTCACTGTTACAGTAAGAATGGCAACTTTTAAAACATTTTTAACTTTTTTTTTTTTCCCTAGTCTATAGTATTTTTCTGACAGCTTTGTCTCTAATGACCAAAGTGTAATTGATAGCTGAAAAGGGTCAAGCAAATTTCAGGTAAAGATTTGAGTATAAACAACCAATCTCATGCCTCTTTGAGAGATCTTTCTCAATATAGAGTAGGTAAGGAGTTCACCAGGAGAATTAATACCTTATTCGTAGGATTTACTGCCTTGTTAGTTTTTTTTTAGCAGTAGAAGTATTTCCATAAAATGTCTGCTAGAAAAGTAGCGTGCCCATACTTGCTGTCCTTCAGAAAAATTCTGAGTCGGCAGGGTGGGAACCAGATGGATGGGAGAAGCAGAAGTGTAATGATGGGCAGAAAATAATAAAAAAGTGCACATGTACAGGGAGAGAGAACAGAGATCTTGAGAGCTAAAGCATAAAGGAGAAGATAATTCAAAATGCATTATGGAGAGGACATAAATATTTTGGGCTTAAAAAATCTATATGGAAAAAAAAGTACTATTCCCTAAGCTCAAGTGACCTCATTTTGGACTTGCTTTCTTTTTGTTCTTGAGAGGACATATGCCCAGACCTCTAAAGAAAATCTGGCTGCCACCTGGCACAGCACCTTTCAAAGAAACGTAACTTTATATTTTCAGAACCTGGCAATATCAGCCACTTCCATCTGTAATAAGCTGCTGTTTGTCATATCTGTTGAACTGCATTTTAACATTTAATTTTAAGTTTCTTTGCCAACCTATTAATAAAGGCCAGGCTATTAAGACCTGTCAATAAAGCCAAAAAAAAGTGTTTTAATTTTGTGAGATCTGTGGGTTCATGCTTTTGTTTTTCATGAATCTACATCTTTTGGTGGGCTCTAGGATATTAACTTGTATGGTGAAATATCATCTCCCCATATTTTAAGTCTGTATTGAGAGGAGGCTGGAATAAATCCTTTGTAGTGATAGCAGAAATCTGCCATATTAAATTCAGTGTTAAAATTGGAGGCAAAGTTACTTGGAGTACTGGCTTTAATTTTTCTGGGATAGGAATCAGGAGGTATTGAGCACATCATCATATTATATAATTATTTGTCCAGCTAAATAGAATTTAATGTGGGTAGCGAGGGAACAGATTCAGTTCTCTTGCTCTGTCTCTACCTGCTGCAACAAAACTTTCAAGCCGTCTCTGGCCAGCTTGGGGACGGTGCCTGGGGAGATCTCCTAGTAGCAGGCAGAGCTGCTCTTGCAGAGTTCAGGTGATGACAGGTGGCCTATTTGTGTTAATTTAATACAAGGAAGACAGCCACCTCAGATCCGGAAGAGGCAAAATGGCCACTGCTATGTGGCAGCCACTGGTTCAGCATGGGTCTGCTTCAGTTTGTGCTAACTGTAGCTCCAAGCTTTCATTGATTTCACTCTGTGTTAAACCTTGGCAGAGTCAATTAGTTCTTGTAATCACTAGTAACCAATGTTTGATATTCATATAAGTCTAACTGAGGAAAAAAATTTGATTTTTTTTTTTTTTTAATAATTCTGGACTACTTTGTAAAATTATTTGCATTAGAAGGGAAAACAAATTTTTATGTACAGTAACAGTGAAATACTGCACCCAAAGCTTAATTGAGATGGATTCTGTAGTGTATGGCTGTAATGTTGAAAAGTTTGTAATTTATATGAAATTTATTAGTGTTTCTTTGAATTCCTGTTAATATATTTTCTGGGTTTTTTTTCAGCTCTTCGTTGTAGCCTCCAGTTTCTTGGAAACATTGCAGCAGGAAACAGAGATTCCCAGAATAGCATTTGGAAGTGTGCTTTCCCAGATCTCTTCTTGTAAGCATGGATGCGGGTTTTTTTTTATAATGTAATTTCTGTGGTTATATTCAAATCTTTTGTACATGATAGTTGTGCCTCTACTAGCACCATGAAGCTTTGAAAAATAACTTTGGGGAGAATGGGATGGTTGAGACCATATCCTGTAGATGTTTTTTTTGTTAGTCAACCGCAAGGGTCAGGACCTTTAAAAACCTGCTTGTTCTAAACTAACAGTAAATCGATTTTAACAGAAACTGGAAGAAAACTGTGTTTCAAATGATGAGGTTCAAACATAAGCTTTATTTCAGAAGTGTTTCCAAGTAGTTATACTCATTTCCAAGAACATAGCTTTTTCTTTATTCACTTTGCTGCTGTGCAGACCTGTCAGTATTTGTGGATCAGATAGAATCTACAAAAGTGAATTAATCTTAGCATCTTTCAATCCTTTTGCCCTCCTCCTAACCTCACCAAAATATCTTCCTGGAGGTTTGATGACATATGTGTAATGAAATATTATATAAATTGTTTTGTGCAGACTCATGACAATATTGTTGATGTATTTGGCCACATTTTTTGTAGTGAGCTAGTAACGAAGGCACATTCATTCAATTTGATACTCATTCTGAGTGTGTTTTTGGAGTCCACTTGTCAGCACTGGATGTAGAAAGACCTTATGATAATAGAAGCAGATAATTATTATTGTTTCACCCAATTCCTAGATCTCCAATTTAGCATTAGTTTTGTAAATTGCCTGTAAGTTCGACCTTCAGCTAGGAGTTGGATGTTTTTCTTTGCCGATGACTTCTATCCCACTTAGGCAATGACAAACTCATGATTCTCTAACAGACAGTGAAGAACAACAACTTGATGAGCTGAATGCCACTAGTCTGTTTTTCCAGGGTCGGTTTTAACTTACTCTCTTAACTCCTTATTTTCTCTTGAAGAATATGCCTAACATACAATGATGAGAAAATTGTTGCCTATTGTTGTATGGTCCTGTTCACCTGCCTTAATTCAGAGAAAGTGAGAGAACTGCTGGATCCTGGGAACTTGACTGTGGCTCTCCATGTCCTGAAAGTCTACAAAGAGCAGTTGGAGTCTGAGTGGTCGTATGTATCTTTAGATTGTTTTTCTCCCCTCTTAATTAGGTGCTTTTCTAGTGTAAATCCCTGTATTAAAATGTCTAAATTTGTGACACTGCTAAGTAGTGAATGAAGATCTATTTAGAAGTTAGTTATTTGGTATAGAGATAATTTTCATGATACTTTCACTGACTGTTTTGATTTCTTCTAAAACAAGAATACATTTTTGTTAAGGATATAGGCAGGAATTTTAAAATCATGGTCTTTTTTTAATGAAACAGGGTTCTAGAATGCAAACTAATGTATATTTGTGTGCTGGTTTGTTGAGATTTTTGAAATAAAGTTGATGTAGAATATAGTCTTACAGACTTCAGTTATTGGGGCATGCTAGGAAGACTTGTATGACTAATGCTTGTGAGTACTACATAAAACATGGAGGTTTTTTGTTTGGTTGGTTTTTTGTGATAAATCTGTTGTCTAGTGCAACATGTAATCATTTTCATACCAAAACGGAGCAGGCATTTTGTTTGTGAATCTTGTACATTGCATTTTCATACTTCAAGAGCTCCTAATCAGTGGCTTTATTCCATTGAGCTGTTATGTTTTTTTGCTAATGGCCATTCTTGTAAACATTGTTGTCAATTTGAGAAATGTTGCATTTGAGAAATGTTCTGCCCTGCATCACCAAGGATACACGTTCAGTTAATTGCTATATGATGCATTTCAAGGGGAAAAAAAAGGATAGTTTGTATGTTTTTTGTAGCATTCTTTTGAAGGTCATGTTTAAATTCAAAATTTAATTAGGAAGAATTGTCAGGGTTTTACTAGTTATTTGGAAAGTCTCTAAACAGAGTTAAGATGATTGAAAAGTGAATGTCATTTAATAATTTGCTTTTGTACTGAAAAAATTACTTCAAAATTAGTTTGTGGCTGGGCTTTTTTTCATAACCAGGTCAATTTGCTTAGGACATAAATAGCTTTCAGAAAGCAAACTTAAAGTTTCAGGTCAGGCGAGCGGACTTCTATTTCAAAAGTGACAAACTGAGTCTTTAGTTTTGGCATCTGTCAGTATAAACACATGTGAAAGATTGCTTTTCAGATCATTATCTTGATTATCCTTCATTTTCTTTATGTATTGAAGATATGCTGAAATGTATTTTGACTGAGATGTGAAAGCCAGGGAGAGGTGGAAGAGGTTGTCATGCTGTTAAATTTGTATTTTGAAGGTCACTGCAGAATAAATGCAGCATCAAAATAAATGCCCAGGTATCAATTTCCCTGATCTTTGTAGTCTGAAGTGCATTCTGTTGATGTTGATCAATGAAAATGTCTTACTTCCACTATGGATGTTTGATGTGGGTGGGAAATGGTCTCTCTTCAGAGTAGTCTTGAAATTAAAAGGTGGCAAACTTCTATACAAGATATAAGACCGTGATGAAGGAAAAGAGATGGGTAGAAAAGAGTAATCCTACTCCTGCCGTAAGGCAGTTGCAGAATGTTTGCCCTCTAATTCCTCTCAGAATCCTGAGTTCCTCATGCAGTAAATACACAAAAAGCATTGGAATATCTTCCAGGTGTTAAGAAAATAATACATTTATTTGTTTTTCATAGTACTCTAACATTGGCTAGTTAAGTCTCAAAGCTTATCCTCAGTTTTCCCAACTGAAAGAAAAAGTAATGAGTTTGTAGTACAAGTTTCTTGGCATTTTATACAGTCATCTTGAACTGAATTATAAATGGAAATCTTTCAATAATGTCAGCACTGTTTTCAAGTCAACACAGGTAAAGTGCATTCACAATTGCAAAATCTAAACCAGAAAGTGTATTACAACAGTGCAGTATCGAGCATTGAATAGGTATTCAAACAGCATTACTTTGAAAGTGAAAAAGGTAATTCCTTGCTAGAAAGGAACCGATTTTTCTGTCTCTAGAGCCTTTTTGTTATTTGTGTTGTACCTATTTCCCCCTGTTTCTTGATCCTCATTTAATTTGTTCTTCTAATACTCCATTTCTTATGTCTCCCATCTCAAGTAACACATTTACTCTCTGATTCTCCCTTGTGTTCATCTGTTCGTATTTGTGAGATAATATTTGGCATGGTTAAGGGTAATTTAAATGGAAAAATAAGTTCTTTCTTCATATTAGACTTAAAAAAAAAAAAATCCATCCTGAAAGAAACTATGATATTTCTGTATTAGAATACATGTAGTATCGTTGGTCTACTTGGTGCGGAGAAGGAGGTAGGAAAGTAACATTTTCACATCCAAAAAAGCAAAACGTTGGTGTAAGAGGTTTGTTTTTCATATTTTCAATTGAAATCTGCTAGTGTGTACCTTTCCTTATGCAACACTGATTTAAACAAAGACTTTTTTTTCTGGTTTTGGTTATGATTTTTTTTTTCTTTTTTCTCCCCTCTTCCAGTTAGCCATAGGTCAGTGTGTAAACTAATGTAAAGCTTTTATCTTAGACCATACATGCCTGTACTACATGGTGTATTTCTGTGTAGTTAAAGGTTTGGAAGAGCCTACAAAGTTAGTAGTCTTGTTTCAAGTAGAACAATCATTGTAAAGTCTTGCAATATCTTTTTTTTTTCCAAATTATAGAGTTTTTTTTCCTGTTATCTTGGCAGCATGTATTTCATAGGTAACAAGTTGTTCTTACTTTAGCTTTAATTACAGAGGATATTTGCTTAATCCTATGAATAAGTGACTACATTGTCACAAGTTACCTGCAGCTTGTATCTCTGATTCTTCTTTGCATTTTCCTATCATTTTTCCATTTGTAAAGCACCTACTGTAAGAGTGTTTACAAATATGACACCTGATGTCACACAGCTGAACCTCCCAGTCTAAATAGTTTTCTCTTTTTCCTAGAATATTAGAATTGGTTTGTTTTGAGGGTAGTCTTGAGCTGGGTCTGAAAGCCTGTTTCTTTTATTAGCACTAATCCCTTCTACTGTGAGATAAATGTGGATGGATACAATTGTGTAGTGCAATGGTGATACCTTCTGTTGCTTGCTTGCTTTCTTTGCTTTTTTCCTATTGCTGAGCAGCAGGAAGCAAGCTAGGCAGCTCTTGTGCTGACTTTCTTGTGTCCGGCCTACTCCATCAGTTTTCTCTGCTGGTTCTCCAAATTCAGGGGAAAGCTCTACTGATGCCAGCCATGTTGCATCTATTTTCCATAGGAAACTCTTGTGAACTTCTCACTGCTCTCCATTTACTAGCATAAAGCCCTGGTCTGTTCCTGTGATCAGACAGAGCAAGCAGTGTCCAGAAATGGCTTCCTAACATGTACTACACTGTGAACAGAAAAGCTGAACAGTAAACAAGATTTCTTATTTTGGTAGAAGTAATGTTATTTACTTTGGCTGATGAAAGCTGAAGATTTTTGTCTTGAATATGAGAACATTCTTTGACAATGATAAGTGAAAAGCTAAGCTTTGTTCTTGGGTCAGTGTTGTTCCTTACATGTAGTTCCTTACATGTAGTAATGCTGTCTCTTTAGGACAGCTTTTGAAATGTGTAGGTTTGCATGTGCCTTATGCCAGTATTAGCTATTCTTTCTTTAGAGCCTTCTGTTTCTAAAACATTTTTGGGTATTAAATGAATTTAATTTTTTGCAATTAGGCATGTGAAAGGCAGAGCCATTGTTTGGAGGATATGTTTGGAATAAGTTTGGACTCTGGTGTATTGCTGCTTTTGCTTTGGTGTCCATTTTTATCATTGCATATAATCTTCCTGGTTTGAACTAATTCTTGGTTCATTACTAAAGCACTTTCTCCCCTCCCCCGCCCCATTCAGGAACTATGTTACTTTCTGATATGGAAGAGTATGTGTGAGATATAATCATGTAAAAGTGCATAAAAAGATTTCTGTCCCTTTTCTTATGAAGTCAAAGCTAAGCTTTGGATGCATCTCTGGCTGGACTGTAGAAAAAATATTTTGTCAGCAATTCATTGAAAATTTGGAGCTGTACTTCAGCTCTCACTGAAGTACATACCACTAGGATTGCTTAAACGAATTTACATAGCCGCGGTATTTGCAACACAGCCAGTACTCTGTTGTAAAGATTTCGGTCCCTTGCACCAGAGCTAACAAAGTGCACAGCAACCATTTTTAAGCGGCTTTTACGGCACTATATAGCTTAACCGAGATACAAACTATTCTTCTTCCAGGAGGTTATGCTCACTGCTGGACTAGCAAATGGCTGCAATTAAGATGTTCTTACTTTTAAAGTTAAAAATATTACTTAATTCCTCCCTACCTTCTTGTGTCTCAGCTAGAGCATTTGGTTTCGTATTACGCCGAATAAAAAGTGAATGCCACGTGTGTTTGTTCTTCTTGGCTGGGCTTTCTTGTTGTCAAATGCTGCTTTTAGGTATTGAAAATCTTTCTTTGAATAACCGGGTGAGTTTTGGTTACAGGCAAAAATTTACTCACTATTTTATTCCCTTTTGTTTTATTGTGCACTGAAATTTATGACTTAATGTTCCTCTAAGTTAGTATCCAGTGAATTCCACAAATAAACACTTACGATGCTCATGTTATTTTTGCAGTTGCTGCCATGAACCGTTAGGACAGAGAGAGGACATCCAGGACAAATATTTGGATTTAAGGCCATTGGCTGAACTGTAGTCTCTCCCATGGGGTCCTCACTACTCCATTCAGCTAGCACATGTTGGGTTTTCTACTCTTCACCCATCACAGGAGGGCAAGCACATCTTTCAAATCTTTTTTTGGTAAATTTGCAATTCTTCCTCTGTTCGTGATCCCACATTCATGTTTAGAGTCCACTTTTCCATCTCCAAGCTGAAAAAGTCCTTAGGGAACATTCAGGAGGAACCTCTTTCAAAGTGTGATACCTTTGGCTTCTCCCTCCAGTCTTGCAGCAGTTCTACAGGGAGAAGCCTTTGTCAGAAGAAATCTGAGATTATTCTGAGCAGTTCCTCAGAGCTCCTTTTTTAGAAGCAGCTGTTTGTACCAGACATTTTGACATTCCTCTTCTGTCTGCCATAAACCCCTCTCCCA